ATTTAGGGTGTAACCTGTGTGCCAGGTTTATCTCAGTTGGCAGTTGAGTGAAGTAATTTTTTGAGGGTGGTCTATCATACCATATCAGGATAGATGCAATCCACAGGGTCTGGTCCTCTGTGAAAACAAAAGAAGACCCTCTCCAAAGCATCATATCCTTAGACCCAAATTTTGAAATCGTAATACTCTTATATCCATTCTGGTTTAGCTTGGCAGCCCATGTAATGAAATGTCTCTCTGTACTTAGTTCCTTCACAGTCAAAAATTTTAAAGAAAACACAATGTACATAATCCAGACTCTCTGTGAATTTTCCATTTTTACATGGCTTATTTTTCTTTATTTCTTTTAATCTCTTAACTATCTGTACTCTGTCTCTTTAAAGACTTTACCTTTTTAAAAAAAAACCATTAACTTTATTCTCTATATTCTTTTTCTTCTCTCTCTCAAGCCTACGTACATTCATCCAACCGTGTGGTCTTTTATGTCTGAATCTGTTTTATTGTGAATCTGTAACATTTTTTTTTACTATCCAGGATCATTTCTTAAAATGTTAAGCAGTTCTTAAAAACTGAAGTTGCACCATGTACAGGTAATACGATACTAAGGTACAGCCTGTTTCCTGCCCAGTCTAAACCTTAACTGCGCTGTTTTTATGGTAATTACGGTAGTTCCTGCCTGAGACCAGGACAGTTCATCATGGCGGAGCTGAGCAGCTCCTGCCTCAGAGCCATTCAGTGCCCCTGAGCCACACACAGTTCCAGGCACACAGCAGTCCACATTGCCATCAAACAAGCCTTAGCACATTACTCCAAATGCTCCATTCAAAAGCTCTGTCTACCGCAGGAGCCAGACAGAGATCGCAAAGGCGGTACAGCCCAGAAAGCCAGCATTTTAAAACAGCCAGTTTTTTCCTGCTGCTGAGTCAGGAAAATTTCAAAATGGAGGACATACCATTTTGTGCTAGCTCTGGGGCAGCCAGGTAGGAGCGGCACTCAGCACTTTAGTTCTAAGACTGAGCATGCAGCACAGAAATTCTTTTCATCCAAATTACAGCCAAATCTGACAGGCAGAGCACTATGCAGTCTGAATGGCGGCAGGAATCCGCCATGCTCTTTCGCCTGCCTAAGCCTGATTCTGCCATCTGCCCAGGTGCAGGTGGGGAGTGCTGAGCCATTGGCATGGTCTCAGAGCACTCTCCTTCCGATCCCAAGTGGGAACACAAATATCCAGTCCCATAAAATCCATTGAAATGCTTTAAAGCCAGAGTTTGCACTGGCAGCACAGTCCTAGGAAGCCACACTTTAAAATGACGCAGCTTTTTTTGTGCTGCTGTTGCTGGATCAGGAAATCTCTCTACAGCATGCCACCAACAAACAGCAAAAATCTGTGTGAAATTCTCTCTCCCTTATTTTAAAGCCTTCTCAGATTTTTAAGTGGATTTTGTCCATCACGTAGGGCGCCGCGCCAATTGAAGGCGTAAGTCACAAACAATGCCACACCAGTTTGGAATTATGATTAATAGGGTGGTATTTATTTAAAGGGGAAAAAACTTACAGATCACCGTCCCAGACAACAGCCCTCTGCTCAACCAGGAAGGGAGTCTAGTTGCAGGTGGAGCAGGAAGTGAAGAGAGAGAGGAGAGGGAAGTGGCCACTTTTTTAAAGGGAGAGAGACCACACCCCAATGGGCTGGTATCTCAGTGGCTATAGGCTGGAGGAGCTGGAGGATCTCCCGCAACAATGGTTGTTGATTGAGTCCATGAACACACATAGACCCAGATAGCCAAATATAGGATCAAATCCATTTTTTCCAGCCTGCAAATTTCTGCCTCATCTGTCCCGTGTGTGTCTCACTGACCTCCAGCTTCTCTACTCCGTTTCTATCCTTGGAAAATGACAACTGCAGTCCTATATGAAGGTGATCTGCCTGGTGGGCACCGCTTCTGAGAAGGTCTGCATGGCCAGACAACCACTGGGACTTTCAAGAGTCAGGCTAAGAGAGATCCACAGAAAGAAAGTAGACTCTACTCTAGACTCTCCAGCCTTTCTCTGACATCGGGTTTCCACACACCACTTTTGTGTTGTGTCCCCCACCCTCCTTATGGTTCAAAGGAACACTGAAGTTCTCACAGATCCCAAGAACGAAGGCTTTCTTTACTCATTCTTCATATCCACCTTGGGCCATTATCCTCACTCGGAGCAGAAGGCAGGCATGCATTTTACTAGAATGCTATGGGGTATTATGCAAGAGAAAGGAATAAGGTGCTTTTACACAAGCATATAGGATTCTGCTGTCAGTAACACACACCCACCCAGTCATCTGACATTAGCTAAAGCAATTCACATAGATTAGCCCATCCTCTGATGACTAGGACGGTGTCTCCCACTTGGATATGTGCCTTAGTGACTGTCCTCCCTCTCCAGCTTGGAAGACATATGCAGAGACAGTAAATTCTATTCAATTTGCATTGTGTATGTTTTTGACAATATATGTCTCTCACCCCCTGCTCCAGCTAAAATAGAGTTAATGCCTACTTTATAAGGTAGACTTTAGATTTAAATTTTTTGATATTTATCATATTTACCATGTCTACTATTAGAACCAACAAACACTATGATGCTGGTATTTTGGAACACAGGTAGGTGAGTTATAGTGTGCACAGAGGTTGTTACCAATCAGTGTTTAATCCAAAGAAAACTGTTCTGGAGTACGATTCTGCTCAGGATTTAATTAATAGGGCTTTCGGTGGCTAGATGCATGTTCTCAATGAGCAAAAGCAAAGGAAAGCATTTTTTGCCTACACACAAAAATTATATGCTTTATTGGTGCTTCTCTGAATTTAGAAATGTTATGCAAATGATTTTTTCCCCCGCTATTTGTTTTGTTTGTAAACCTAAGCACTCATTCCCAGAGGGCCAGTAAAAGTACATTGCAACTGCTTAAAATGTGAATACAATTCTTATTACTGTGAGAAAATGTTTATGCACAGCCCCATGACTTTTAATTTAAAATACCCACAAGCACAGAGGGCTCCCCGCGAGATGGGAGGTCCTGCAGGTGCCTTTTGTCCTTGGTATGCGAGGCTCTTCTGTCTCTGCTTGGGTAATTGGGGTTAGTCTAACGTTTTCATCTTTTGGGGCAAAGGAGTGAATAAATGTGCAATCTGTCTTACAAGACCTAGAAATATCTTCCCAAACAGAGAAACTGTCTTTAAAAGAATTCATCACTTTGGGTTACTGAAAATGTTCAGAGTCTTGAGCAATGGAACTCTCAGGTTTTCTCTGGTGTCTAAAAGCTCTACAATGCCACACATTATTCAAGTTTCACCTCACAGTGAGAGCTTCCTCGACCAAACTGTGAAATAGTAGCTCTAAGTCGAATCTAGTGGGTCATGAACCTGCCACATGAGCAGGAGCTCTACCGTTAAGCCATGCCCACACCCAGTGCCTGCCTTTCTTCTGTTTATCTTCTAGAACTTTCCATTTGTCACCATCCCACGACCTGTAAAACTAGCTCTTTGTCACGTCCTCCTAGGGAAATCGACACTCCAACAAGGCAGAGGCCTTTGTGTGGTTTTTAAATACTACATTTACAGTATCACGAACAAAACATGTTTTTAACCAGTGAAATCCCTTACTTTGGATTTACTCAATGTACAGCATTGACTTTGATATCCCATGTAAAATATGTACAAGAGGTATGGGCGTTGTTGTTTTGAAATACCCAAAAAGGAGTGCTTGTTTGTTATGAACAAATGAGTATATGGATAATGTGCAATCGGTTGGAACTGAGTGCCATAGGTATTTTATATTTATGACCATGATTATTAGCTAAAAGAAAATCATCTATAGTCCATTAGTTCAGGTATAGTTTGAATTTATCTTGCAAGTTTGTAGCATGCTATTTGATAATAAAATCCATGTTTACGTTTGTGTAATTTTAAGTTAGATGGTTCTATCAGAAGCGTCACATACTCAACCTTCCAGCCGTAGAATTGTAACTACTCAGTCTTCACCAGGTTTACACCAACTCAAGGTATTATACCCTTGAGCTCAGTTGAAGAAAACCCTTTGGGCAGCCTTGAGCATTTCATCCTGACTGACTTGCCAGTGCAAGTGGCCCCTGCCTTTTAGCCTTATGTTGATGGTCACCCTGCTCAGTATCTTTAAGTTAATCCATGCAGAGCTCCTGCCTGTTAGAACAGACAGTAGCGATTAATGGTGTGGATTACCTCTATCAAACAGATAATGCTAGAGGCAGAAGTCAGAGTGGCAGCCCGGTCTTCAGGGTAGGAGGATGAGCCAGGGAGGATGTTAAAGGTTGGTTAATGCTTGTGGTTGCTAGTTCCTTGTATGACCTTTCCTGGGGAGGCAGGAACCAACATCAGAACTCCCAATATGGCACTAATGCCATACCAAAGAGCTGATTCCTCTCAAGTCTAGCTTGATTAAAGAATGAATTTAGGGGGGGGGAGTACTTAAGGGGGTGTATGCATAAAAGTAGTGTATAGGAGCATGGATGATTCAAGCTACATCACTGAAAGGCCTATCCTGGCATGGGGTGATGACTCACAAAAGCTCCATCCTTGAACTCCCCAAAGCTTGGAAACAGCTTCATTGAAGAGTATCCTCTCTCCAACTCTCCTTTGCTGAGACCCTGTGAATTATTAGCTTGGGAGACCTTCCTAACCCACTCAGCTTCCTTAACTGAGACTTAGAAGTCTCAGGATTGGATACAGCCTTTGTGTTTGATTGGTGCTGATGCAGGATTGGATACAGCCTTTGTGTTTGATTGGTGCTGCTCTCTCTGTTTCTTCTCAGCAATAAAGCCAGACTTTCTATGACACACACTTTACACAGAAACTATTTATTTGGCATTAAACACAGAAGCGTTCTGGAAATATTTGTAAGCCTATCACATTTAACAAATGAAAGAGTTATCTGTTTGAGCTAGTTTCAAAACACGCACTTATGTTCTTTAAACATGTCACATTGTGCAGCCTTCTGTCTTCAATAACGTATTCCCCTAAGTTGGAGCGTAAGACAACAGAGGGTGTGCTACCACCTGACAGCGACAATGACAAGGGAGAGAGAAACAGCAAACGCGTCTGCTTCAACATAGCAGGGGATGAGCAAGAGGACTCAGGCCACGACACCGTCAGCAACAGAGACTCCTACAGGTGAGCCATTCCTTGAAATGAAATTCCTCTCATTTCCTCAGCAAACTCAAGTGAGATTTTATGTCCTCTTCAAATGTCTTGAAAATAAATGTTGATGGTTGATTTTGTTTACTGCTGTTTCAAAATAACCACCAGTTCAAGCAGGACGGCATTGTCTTTAAAGTTGTTCTCATTAATGATCTGGATTTTTCTTCCCTCTCGCAGTGTGGCCCTGTTGTGCCAGAGTTGTTCTTACAGGCTGATTGTGTAACCGTGTAATAGCAATTGTCCAAAATGTCCTTCTGATTGTGATTTATTAGCCGGCAAAGAGCAGTCCTTTTCGCCCTGTTTCCCTTGTCTTTGTTATATATTGCACTTCTATGTCCAGCTTTGTGTTTGTTTCCTCTAGGGGCTGTTTCTGTAGTAGTTAGCCGTGACTGATAGCATAAAGTGCCCCGACTGGCTGACGTGGACGACAGAATTTGTATCGTAGCTCTGGCACCCGGAAGCCTGACCAGGATGTTGGCCGTGTTGGTTCCTTCTGAGGACAGTGAAGGAGCCGACTCCAGGCCTTCACTTGTCATTGTCCCACAGCTGTGTCCTCATGTGAACCCTCACGAGAGATCCCCTTCTTATAGAGCAGCAGTCATATTGGATTAAGAGCCCCTCAAAATGACCTTTCGAAGGCTATCTCCTTCAATTTGGTCACATGTTTGAGGTACTGAGGTGTTAGATTTCAACTTCAGAATTTGGGGCAAACAGTTCGTCCAGCACTCCTTCCTGCTCAGGGGTTCATCTGAGGAGTTCCGTCACTGGACCCTGTCACCAGGATTCTCACCTGAGCGCTTTCTCAACCGGCCCCATGCACTGTGTATGCAGCTTCAGCATCTCTGGTTTGACTTACATTAGTTGAAGGAAAAGTTCACTCTTGTCCATAGTATTTCCAATGGAAAACATCGTGTTAGTGTTAATTGTATCAAAATTATTCTCGTCAGGTAGGGTTATCCAAACTAGTAATTAACAGTTGCATAGTTTTAGCAGAAGAATTTAAAATAATCCCCTACAGCCTCCTGGAGTGGTAGATTCTGATAGTAGCTCCATTTAATACATGAAGATGCAGAGGTCCATGGAGTTAGGATAAATATTCACCTTGGCAACCAGGGGCCTCGCTTCATGGCTTCTTGCTTAAACAGTCTGCCATCCTAATTTTTATTTTCCAAAGAGGATTTTAACAACTACGTCAAAGTTAATTATTCCTGGAGATTTAATAATGAATTGAACATCTTTATTATATCATTTAGTTCTGGCATCTGAACGTACCAGCGCACTCCATCCTAGCATCCTGTAGTTTCTCTCCTGGGGAAACCACATTTCCAAAAATACCTCTGCCTCACATCCTAGTCATCAGAGAGTTAAAATCACCCCCACATTCTCCCTCTGGAATACCATAGAAATTTTAAATGTAGATTAAAATCAAATCCTTATTTTTACTCTAAGAGGTTAAAAAAAAATCTCTGGCACTGTTTCTAAACTCTGAATTATCCTCATAATCACACAGCATCTACAACATTTTTTTCACAGATATTCTTTAGTTTTAGCAGTTTCCAGTGCTATGTTGTTCGTGCGTGGAGACAGATGAGGTCGCTGCTGTGGGGACTTCGAGGTGTCCCCAGCAACCTATAACACAAACGACCAGAAAGGAAAAAGAGAAGTAATAAACTAGACTTTGTCAGAAACTTCTCTGAGCACTGTTATTAAACAGATAATGAAGGCAGCATTTTCAAAAAATTCTCTTAGAAATCAATGATCTGACAAGAAAATTTGAAATGTTTGAATTTCCAAGAATGCCTTTAGAAACTGAGACAAATTGAGTTGAACAGGTTTCCTTTTCTCTTAACGTTATATAGAACACACTGATAAAGGTATCTGTGGCATAAATTTATGTGATAAGAAGGAGGTTGCAAGCATTCTTTTCACTGTAGTTTTAATTAGCACATAAAGCAATGACTTCCATTCAGACGTTCTCTCCTATCTCCCTGTGCTCTGCTCATAGTTGGCTCCTGCTCCTTCCTCTCTCTTGCCATCACACTGGAGTACAACCTGGGCAAACATATTCTTAAAGCAACATATGGCTCTTTTTTTTTTTTTTTTTTGCAGTGACTGCAATAGCAACAGGAACTCGATTGCCTCTTTCACAAGTATATGCAGCAGCCAGTGCAGCTCCTACTTCCACAGTGATGAGATGGACTCAGGTGGGCGTGATAGACAGCTTGTGCTCCTTGATGCTAGTAACATTACAGATGCCTATACAGGGGGCATTAATGTCTTCGATTCATTAGTCATTCTCAGTGGCCACCATATTGCATTGTAACTGTAAAACTACTTTCCAAATGCCAGTTATAAGAAAAGCACATTTAAAAGTCGTATTTAACATATGGCTTCTGACCTTACCCTTCATAGTCAAGGATTATAGGCACAATGGAAAAAATAAGTTTTTACCAAACACACTGGGCATGGATGTTTGGGTGGAGGCATGGGAAGTCATTTCAGCCTGAGGGTGTTTTTTGAAGGTATGTACATCCAAGGGAACCTTACATTTAGTCAACTGGGAGAGAGAAGTCAGGAAAAATACATGTTGATGCTTTATCCTTCCCATGAGGGGCGTTGCTTTGGACTGTTTCAGCAGCTTGATTCAACTGACTTTTCTGCTGTGTGAAACCTGATCCAATTCCTTTTCTGATATGGGCTAAGATCTCATTTTAAATTGCTCATATTTTATCAAATAAGATACTATTTCAACATGTTAAAAATAAGATTAAGGTTTTGGCTTATTTTTTTCATATAGGTGATGAACTTCCTATCAGCATCCGGATATCTCATGATAAACAGGACAAGATCCACACTTGCCTGGAGCAGCTTTTCAGCCAGGTGTGGTGGGGCAGTTGTGGGTCTTTTGTCTAGGTTAAAGATCAGAAATCCTTGAGATGTAATGCAAAGAGCTAGAAAGAGGACTGCAGTCTGTCTCTTGGCCTCCTTGGCTTTAAAACATGCGTTCCTCCAGCGACCAAGCTAAAGGGTACTTGTGCCTACCAAGTGTTTTATAGAAAACTATATGGCAAATATAAGAGAACTACACACACAGGAGAAACCGTCTTGACTATTGGCGGGCTGGCTGAATGCTTCCTGGCGCCTCACTTAGTGTTATTTCTAGTTTCAAAAACTTCACAATTTCCTGACCTTTCATGTTAAGACCTTGCTTTTGTGAAATGTTTTATGATCATCACAATAATTTGTAGTATTGGAGGTTTTAGCACTTTGAAAATATTTCTGTGCTTTTGAATATTTTTGAGCTTTCACTTCTTTTGTGAAGTAGATTTTTTTTATTTTGTACATTTTTTATCAATTTAGTGTAAATTATGAGGAATAACTGGAAACATTTAAGTGAAAATATGAGATGATTATAATATTTTGCTTAAAGATAGGTTTCACCGGCTTGGTGGGCTCTCAAAAACATTTATTTAAGAAAAGTATTTTATAAGATATATGCATGCACATGTTTTATATGTGTGTGTATGTGTATGTAGTATATACTATGTATTCTGGATGTCTGTAACACTCAGAAATCTACCCTTGATAGATGGACTCCATAACCAACCTCTTGAAGGGGCAAGCTGTTGTGAGGGCCTTTGAGCAAACCAAGCATCTCACACCAGGTCGAGGATTACAAGGTATGTTTGAAATAAATAGCAAAGCAAAAATATTGCAGCAGAAGACAAAATTTTGAGCTTTTGTTCCATAATTATCCAACTCTACTTCTATTTGGATCATACATGAAAATATTAAAAATCACTATATTAACTTTTATAAACGTTTTATATTTCTTTGAAAATTTCAAACATTTGATACCTCTAGAGGCAAAACCAAAAATACACAAATTAAAGACACAAAAGACTTAAGTTTCGTTTGCAGTAATGTCTACCTGGTCCTATCCCATGGAGGGGAAAGAGCTTCGGGAGTGTGGGATTGGCAGGCAGGCCCCTGACCACAGAGCATAGCACTGTCCCCTTCTCCTGTCTCTCTTTCTGTATTACAATATCATTTCTGCCTATATTTGCTTCCTGGGTGGAATCCCTATAATAAAATAACACTGGGCTCTGGATTTTAGATTTAATACACTTTCTGTTGTAATTTCACTAAGGAAATTTATTAACAATATTCTAGAATAGTAAAATGGACCAAAGCAGCAAATTCTGAATCCAGTGGGTTTAACTGAGAATTGATTGAGTCTTATGAGGGGATTTTCCTATTTGTTTAGAATTCCAGCAGGAAATGGAGGCAAAGCTGAGTTGCCCGAAAAGACTAAGACTTCACCTCAAACAGGACCCCTGGAATCTGCCCAACAGTGTCCGGGTGCTTGCACAGAACATCAGGAAGTTTGTTGAAGGTCGGTATGAAAAGCAAAGTCTGCTAATGCCCATGCTTTCTGCAGTGATTCCCATGCAGAATAGAATAAAAGGAAGGAAGTGGACAAGGAATGGAGGTGATAGAGAAGGAATAAGCCTGCAGGCACTGCAGAGTGTATCGTGAAGAGCACTCTGAATGAATGAAATAGGGTGTGTGTGTAGAGAATTGAAACCATTTGAGCATAAGACTTTGGAGTTTGAAATAATAGGAGAAAATTATAAGGAATTAACAAAAAGTACATGGAGCTTAATTTTTATAGGAAGCCTAAAAAGTTTGTTGTGTATTTCTATGGGAATCTAATTAACTTCATACCTTGCATCACTAGTTTTTAAAGTTCTGGCCTTGACTGATGGTCACTGGCTGCCGGGACATTATTTACATGTCATCCTGAAATTGTCACAACCTCTAATTTAGAGTCTAGGGTCATGGCCAAATGTCTGGAGATGTTCTTGATTGTCCCAGCTTCAAGTGTATGACTGGCACCCCGTGAGGAGAGGTCAAGAATGCTGCTGAGCCTACTCCGCACGCAGGACAGTCTGTCACAGCAAAGGATCTCCCACCCCCCAATATTGACAGCGCTAAATTTGAGAAATGTGTACAACAGACCTTCCCATGCTTACAGCTTTATTTCATGGCCATTTGTCACTGAGCTATAATAAATGATATTCAGCAGGATTCTAGCATACTTCTAGTGACTCCAATTTTAGGGTAAATTGGAAATATACTCAAATACAGCAGCTTTGAACACTGAGTTTAGTTGAGAGGACATTTGGATGGAAAGATGGCAGGCCCCCAGATAAATCACAGATTCTATTCAGTCATGAAATGTTATTTGTAAATGACTTTTTTGACTATATTTTAATTTTATGGCTTAATATTGTGGTTTCCTGGGAAACGTAACATCCCATTAAAAGTCTGAATCAAAATTGTCTCAAATTATGAATAGGTTTTAAACACACTTTAGTAAGCTAAAGCACATGTTTTGCAGAGTGGAAGCCATATTTTCTCAGAAGAGTTCCTCTCAGTAGCATAATGCTTCCAGAAGTTGTAAATTCATACAAATGATCTCACCTTCTCTGAGGTTTTGATAATGATAAAAATAGATAGATTAAACTCTTTTTTCAAATAAGTGCAGTATTGATTAGAACTGGACATATTCCTAGAACTTCATTTTACTGCATTTTTAGTAAAAGTATTTCATCTTCGACATATACATTTCTAACATAAATAAAATGCTCAATAAAAAAATTTGAGAATCTTGCATTATTATCTTGTTATGTTTTTATACTCTATGTTCATCAAGGCACATTTTGAAGTCATAGAGTTAGTAGATACTTACATACCTAACATTGGTTTATTTCTTTGTTCTTTTGATTAATTGATGTTGTAAACATTGGTATCACCCTTGGTCATGAGACTCCAGTAGCTGATTTAGTCTGGCTATATGTTCTAAGAATCTTATAGTCAATGGAGTGCATGGTAAAGACATTTTGCAGACTTTAAGTTCTAGCTATTTTTCTAAGTTACTCTGGGTGAGAACTCAGATTGTGTGTTAAATGAGTCTTTGAAAAACAGTTTATTTACCATCTCCTGCTTCAGCCTACTAGGCTGTCCTAGGGAGAGGGGATGGTGCCATTACTTTTAAATCAATTGTGATGTGGAACATCCTCATGTAATCTCCCCAGTTCATTGCACTTTGTTCCATTTGGCTTCATGTAATTTCCATCCTACTTTACAAACTGTGGTGAGTGATGTCATAGATGTAGCCCCATAAATATGAACAGGTAAAAATTTAACTTGATACTTGGCTAGAAATTTGTATTTTACGTATGTCGGTGGAGTGCTCCCATTTCTTATGTTTCCTGATGTCTGATTTAAGATTTATATCAAATATGGTGTCAAAACATCATGACCCTTGACCTTTACCTAAGACGGATTGCCAAAGTGTTATTCCAGTGTTAGGTGACGATTTCCTCATCCACACATACCCTGCTGAACAGATAATTGGGAGCAGATAATAGAAGGTAGGCATGTCAATCGGGATCTTATTGATTAATATGTCAAAAAGCTGATATTGTTTCATGCATAATCTTTCTGCTAAACATGGTCTCATGCTACCAGCTAAATTAAGATATATTTGCTTGCTTCCACCATCCCCTTAAATTTATGCTCAATTTGTGTTGCATGACTTTTCCTAGGAAGACACAAAGAAACACCCCTTAACCCTAGATAGGGCAATGGCAGAGCAAAGAAAGATTCCATCCAAATCCAGCTTGGTGAACCAATGGGTTTATTAGGCATGGGTGAGGAGTAGCTCACAGGAGCATGGATATGGGGTAACTCATGGGAGCATGGGTGAGGAGTAACTCACAGCAGCATGGATTGGGATTACTCATAGGAGCATGAATGAGGAGTAGCTCACAGGAGCATGGATGTGGGGTAACTCACAGGAGCATGGATTGGGATTACTCACAGGGAATGGGTGAGGGGTAGCTCACAGGAGCATGGTTGAGGTGTAGCTCAGAGGAACATGGGTGACAGGTAGCTCACAGGGGCATGGGTGAGGGGTAGCTCACAGGGGCATGGGTGAGGGGTACTTCACAGGCCTATGGATGTGTCACCCAAAAGCCCACCCCAGCCTGTGTGATGGCTCGAGATGGGTGCATCACTGCGTGCATTCCTTGCTGGTTAACATAACTAATGGGAGGGCCTTTGTGAGGCCTTGAATTCCCCTGAGTTTTCTGAATCCGCTAAGTTTCTTTGGAGTTTAATGGGCACTCTCCCTCCAGGAGAGGATGTTTCACATGGTTTGTAAGTGATGACACTTTCTTCTCCCTTTTCCTTTAAAAATATCATTTCTACTGTTTTTCGCCCACAAACTTACTTTTTCTTTGCCTGAATTTGTCTCAATATCATAAAGCATTTTTATTAATTTTTTAGTTACCTTGCATTCACAATGCTGATAATTTTCTGTCCTTCTCTCCATGTTTTCTAATTAGTACACACCATTACCAGATTTTCTTTTCCATGTCTTATTCTTGGCTCACTCTTGGACACCAGAGCCTGGTGGTGACTTGCTCCCAGATGAATCTAAGCTCATCAAGCTAATGGTATAAGCCAGCTTTCACTTTAGCTTCAGAATTGTGGCCCAATCCTAGTGTTCCTAGTGTCTTAACGAGACAATGAGATACGTTGTTAATTTTCTGGTGTATATCTTCGTCAGCTCTCTTCTCAAGTATCTCCCTTCTCCCTGCTGGTCTAAACTTACATTTCTACGAAGTGTTTTGTTCTTGCACATTCTATATCAGCTGCAGCCAGCTCTAGGTTACAGTAATAGCACTCTTCGTGTGTGTGATACAGCACTTTAAAAGACTTGCAAAGACCTTAAGTATATTTCCTGTTCATTTTTCCTACATAGGCCTTTGTAAACATAAAGTATCATCTATGAATGAGATGGACTAATAACTATTAAGTTTTTGGATACCACAAAGCTAGAGCATAATAAATTGGTTCTCAGCGGAGTGTGCTTTCTTGCCTCTGAAATCCTCTTGTTTCTGCATTCGTGTTTGTAAACTTCATGGCCCTTTGAGTATTGTCCGCATTTCTGATCAGTTAGCCAACCCCCTCTCGTTGACACCTGTAATGCATAAAACAGAATGATTTGTAACACTTCTCTCTATCCTATCATCTTTGTTACATAGAAGGCACTCTTTACTATTCGAAGCCAATGGACACAGTGATAAGTATGAAACTATTATATACCTGTCAAATATTTGTGATTGGCCCTGTGTGGGATGGAATAGTAGAGTATATTAGTTTATATACATGCATTTTTTATCTAAAATTTTTAGTCATAGAAACAAGCATTATTTTCACAGCTTAGCAACACAACTTATATGTTCAGGAATAGCATTCAGTCTAAAGTAGCCAAGGATGTCCTAGAATTGGGCACTATTTGAATGGTATTCTATTGTCTAATTTGGAACTGAAAGACATTCTAGTGTCTTAGGCAATTGATAGTTTTTACCTAAGCAGATGGGCAACAGTATAATGGTAAGCAAATGGCATTTTGATTACCTAATATAGTGAAAAAATTTTACTACCAGGATACAAGGTCATGTGAGTTGCAGAAGCACAGTGGATAACTAATAAGTCTGCTTTATTTCTCTGCAGAGGTGAAGTGTCGGATACTGCTGGCTCTCCTTGAATACTCAGGTAATGTTTTGCCCTATTTTTACTGTCTAAAGCAATGTAGCCAGAATCATAAAGGTCTTAAAATAGGAAATCAATACCTTCTGCCACCTAGAGAGACAAATGGGGCTCTGACATCTGCCTTCTCTAGAGTACTGGAAAGATTTTTTTTAATGTACTTAAGTGTTTTTATAAGGGCACAAAAGCTTAAGGTCATTTTTGATTATAAGTACATATAGAAATACATATAAACACGTATTAAAACCATATCATTACTAAGAGAAAGAAGAAGCTGGGCATGGGAGCGCAGGCAGGCAATCCCAGCATTAGGGAAGCCAAAGAAAGAAGAGAATCATAGGCTCAGGTTCCTCCTGATTGCACACCAATAGCTCCTTTCACTAAAACAAGGAGAAAACTTAAAGGCTGTGGTAAAGGGAATAGATGGTGTATTGGTATGGGATTTCTCATGAAACCATCTAATTGTTGTTGATGATCAGGGATTTATATAAATGTTTTCCAGATCTTACATTGAAGCACACCTACCATGCATTTAGTAGGAGGTCAGCATAATTGGCAATGGCACCAAAGGACAATCAAACATTTCATCAAACTCTGAATTACAGATAGGAAGTTGTTAGCCTCGTCAAAGCCAGCACTACTTAATTTTAATCATCAACAAATTGCTAAAGCAGCAGCTGTCCCAAGTGTCCATCAAATAGGTGTTGTAAGAAAGCGATGGTCGGAGAATGTAGCTCCATGGGCAGAATGCTCCTCTGCCAGTCAGGAAGTCCCTGTTTGCATGCACAGCATGGTGTGATGGCCAGCATTCCAGAAGTCTACATTTGCAGAGGTGTGTAAGAGCTTAGCATTGTCTGCGCACCAGGGCACCCGGCAGCATGTTCCAGCGAAGCGGTGGAGCCAGCACCTTTACTGGCTTGCGATTTATTTTTTGACCTTTTTAAACTTAAAGAGTCAATTTTTCACTCAGTTTTCCAAGTAGGCCTTGAGCTCCTTAGCTGAAGTGATTCCCCAGCCTCAAACATTTGTGTATCAGGGAAATGCTGTCACACTTCTCTTGGGATTTTTCTTTTGAAGGCAAAACTCTCAAAACTATACTACAAGTGCATGGCTGCAGTAGGGGGTAATTCGTGACAATTTTAGAGCCTACTGAACTTGGATATTTTTGATGATGAGTAAATGAGTAGAGTCGAACGAAGGGACTTTTGGTTAACTGATTGTTCTTTGATTAATAACAGTAATAACGGCAAAAAATCTTACATTTTTGAACTATTCTAAAGATAAATTTCATAGATTAATATTTATAAAATTTCATTGGGGACAACTATTGTTTCCATAGTTTAAAGGGGAATAAGTATGTTTTGGAAGAATAATAATAACTAGTAGATGGTATTCATTCAACTCGGATCTTGGATATCGTGAGAGGTCACCAAAAATGCTCCCCAGTAAGTAAATTTAAGAAACAGCAAAAGGCATTTTGGAATTTCAAATTCAGTTTCACCAGTTCCAAAAGTGATCCTGGACTGCACAGCTCTCTTCGGTGTTCAGATGGCTGCTTCATCAGACAGCTGTGATGTTTGTGTGTGCTTGTGTGTTTGTTATGAGATAGGGTCTCAAGTAGCCCAGGATAGCCTCAAACTTCAGGATATGGCCCACGCTTGTCTTTTACTATGAATCTTCCTGGCCCAGCCTCCTGTGGGCCAGGATTAGAGGCAGGTGACATCATCCCCAACTGGGTCCTCCTGCCTCAGCCTCCTGTGGATTGGAATTACAGGAAGGTGACACCACACCGAACTTGCAGAAACTTCTTTTTATCTTATTTTTATTTTTCTCTTCTATCTATGGGGTGGGTTTTTTTTTTTGCATTTTTTCCACTCTCTCTTTCCTTTTATGCATGGGATGATATTTAAACAATAGTCAAATTATGCCATCATTTTGACTGTGAAACTATGTTTTTCATTAGAAAACAATAGTCTATATCTGCTGAATGTTCTACTTAACCCTTTTTGTTAATCTTTTGGAAATATTCCATATTTATTAGAAACCAAAGATAAAAATTATTTCTCTGGTTTTGGGCCTTTAGGGCTTTTTAAATAGTGTGTGTGTGTATGTGTGTGTGTGTGTGTGTGTAAAAACTTTATACATGAGCACTACATTACACCCTCTGTGTTGGATTTCCTATGTAGAGAAGACTGCTGATGGCAGAAATAAGTTCACCATGTTTCCTGGGATAGAGATAATTCACAATTTTCAATATTTCAATAATTTAAAGAGGTATAATCTTTCAATGCACTGACATGAGCACTGAGTTAAAATTTGTGCTTCATTCTTCAAACTAAAGAGGCATGGGAACAAAATATGGGCTATAAGGCCATTTAGCAGGGCATTTAATGTGCGAGGGATTTGTTGCATTGTGGATGAAAGGAGGGAAAGGGGGCATTGAGGAATATCAATATCAAGTCGGGGTACATATCAAGCCTGCTCAAAATAGCTACGTGGTGACTGTCACTCCATAAAGCAATGAGCATTTATTAAGTATCTTTAATTTAAAATTTCATTAGCTTAAAATTTAAACAGCGCCGTTGCCCAAGATGTCTTTCATGTCTTCCTGTTATTTTAGTATGGCTAGAAATGTGGCCAAGACTGTGAATGAAGCTTCTCCTACCCCAAAAATTGACACTAAGCTTCATCCTCACAGCAATTCAATATTAAAAATGAATCAGTAAGCAGGCACGATGTATATTTGGCAGAGTTATCAACACTTCTTTTGTGTTAGAAAGACTAATGAATGTTAATTGTTATCTTTTCAATTGTGATCAAGTTAAAGGAAAGTTGACTTACATACATATAGTAAGAGAGAAGCCATGACGTGTCTAAGTATTAGGGAGATGTAAAAATAAAATTGAAGAATTTCTCTTCAGAAGCACTTTGGAAAACATTATTTTTACTAGCAGTACAGATATTAACCCTTGTGCATTCTCTTCATGGTGATACAGGAGCCAGAGCCTTTGCTCCCGACTTTTGATATCAACAGTTTCTTCCAAATTTTATTTTATTAAATTGTTTTCAGGTTATAGGTGGGACTATTCCTGTAACAGCTACTATTTTTAAAAGTTTACCCAGGTTTTCTATATTGTTGTAGGACACCTAAAAATAAAGTAAGATTGTCAAAGGAGAGGGATGGGCCGTTCCTATTTTCATTTTCAAGCTCTCAGGCTTTGTGAATTTCAGTTCCATGGATTCCAAGAGGTCAAGGCATGAATTCACACCTTTTCCTTCTTGAGTCAGCACCCAGGCTTCGTAGGTTCTGGTCACTCACTCAGTAGGCACTTGTTGAATGCCCACTCTGTTAGATTTGCACAACTCAAAACACGTGATTTGCTTCTTTCTTGAGAGTTGAGGAGGGTTAATTTCAGTTTTCAAGTTGGATGGATACCTGCCAAATGTCTTTCCCATCTAGCAGCACGAACATGGTATAGAATTATTGAAAGAAGACATCTAGCATGCACAGGTTGGTTAAATTAATAAATTGAATGTTTGGAATTAGCATATTCAACCCCTTTGATCTGCCAAAGGAGAACACTCATGTAGTTCAAACTAAAAGAGGAATAGTCTAAATATCATATTGGATATTTTAATATTTGATCTATTTTTTAAGAAAATGTCACAAGTGAATGTTCCTTATATTAAAATTAACACAAAGCAACTGTACTATATTGAAACATGATTTTGATGGTTATTAAAAACAAATGTTCAATGTTCTTGGTAAATGACTTAAAAATTGTGTCTCTGTCAATAAAATGAGAATTCAGTGTTGAAGAAGTCAGTTATCTTTATATTTTAAGCCACTATTGGCAGTAGGTATTGACCACACAAGGTTCTTAAAGCACTCATCCCAGACCCACTTTTTTGGGGAGATAATTTCCCCTGTGTTCCTCTCTTACACAAGAATTTCGTCCCATGCTGAAGATAGGGCCTGATGTTTATCAGACTGGAGTCTACACTGATGGCAAATGAATCCCGGATGTCCATCATTCATTTATATGCAATTCCTGCAGAATCAGGCCACAGAGAAATCATACCTTCAAAGTCAGTTAACCCAAATCCATTCATTGTCTGATATACTTCTACTAAACCTATTAAAATCAATTTATGCTAAAATTAAATGTACTAGCAAATTAAGGGAAATATAGGCATCCCCAGTCTTATAAATGTAGACATATTTAGTACTCCGGAATTTAAATGAGTAATTCATAAGGTGCAGATTTATTTACTAGTACAAGCAGTTAGTCAGCAAATATGCTTTCTTGGCTTGTATTAATATTTGGGTAGGTGTCAAAGGTGATTATTTTAAAAATATTAATAGTATTTAGTTTGTCAGCAGAAACTATACAATTAAACTTTGAGTCTTTTAGCAAATAAAAATTATATCATATAAGGTAAAAACAAAGTTTTTTCTTTTCCTCAGGATTTTATAAAATAAAGTAATGAGTAAAAATAGACTCACAGTGTATATGAAGGAATTTTTTTAATTTCAAGTTTTATTCTTTGGAATTTTCATACATACACCTATTGTACCTTGAACATGTAGACCCTTCATCTGCTACTGCAGCTCCCCAGGACCTCTGATCACATCCTCTCCCTGATTTTATGTCTTCATTGTTTATCTTATCTTATTATTATTATTATTAGTCTACCATCTCAAATACTGCTGTCCATATGCATATGGGTACACGGTCATCTACTAGGTCACAGAGAACCTACCAGTGGTCACACTCCTGAAAATGGGTCTTTCTCTTTCCCAACAGCCTTCAGCTGCCAGTAGCTTGTCATCTAGAGATGGAGTCTGGAAAGCCCTTTCCCCTTCCATGCTTGAATTTTGAACTGGCTTAAATCTGTGCAGGTCTTATGTATGTGCTCACACCTTCTGTGAGTCTCTTGTGTGCAATAACCATGTCAAGTCCAGAGGACAGCATTTCATAGCATACCCCCACATGTGGAGACTTCTTTAAATGTTTTTGATATGTGCTTATTTTTAAACCTTAATAAAAGCATATTTAATTTTTTTGTTAAGCTCATTTTACTCTTTCCTCTCAAGAGAAAAAATTAAGCACTAGCCCTTGGTATATGCTTAATAGTTCATTTTCAAGCTGGGTGCAATATTGCACACCTTTAACTCCAGCACTTAGGAGGCAGAGGCAGGTAGATGACTATGAGATCAAGGTCAGCCTGGTCTACAGAGTGAGTTCCAGGGTAATCAGAGCTACACAGAGAGGCACTGGGTTTCTGATCCTACTGCACGTACTGGCTTTGTGGGAGCCTAGGCAGTTTGGATGCTCAACTTACTAGACCTGGATGGAGGTGGGGGGTTCCTTGGACTTCCCACAGGACAGGGAACCCTGATTGCTTTTCGGGCTGAGGGGGGGGGGACTTAATTAGGGGAGGGGGAGGGAAATGGGAGGCGGTGGCTGGGAAGAGACAGAAATCTTTAATAAATAAATAAATTAAAAAAAAGTAAGTGATAAAGGAGAACAGAAGAGAAAGGAAAAAAATAAATAAATGAATAAAAAAATATATGATTTTCCTTCAGCAATATTCATTTTGCAATTATAATTACATCATTTTTCCCTTCTCTTTCCTCTCTCCAAACTCTCCTCTATACTCCTTGCTGCCTTTCAAATTCATGAACTCTTTTTTCATTAGTTTTTGTTACATATATATGTATAGGTGTCTTCAGGTATATTCCTAAATACATAAATGTTTCTCAATCTATATATTGTTACATATGTCCATAATTTGGGGGCTGACCATTTGGTATTGGATAGCCAATTGGTGTGATCTTCAATGGGAAGAACTATTTCTCCTCCTATTGTCATCATTCCTTAGTTGTCTGTAGTTCTTTGCATAAGGTTGAGGCCTCATTGGTTTCCCCCATCATCTTTGGCATGCCTGTTGGTGCCTTTGTTCAGCTCATGTGGAGGCAGTCATGTTGGTGAGACTTTATGGGTGTGGTTTCTGACATTGCTCGAATCTGACAGCAACTTCTTGATTCTCTGGCTCTTACAATCTTTCTATCCCTTGTAAACGCAGACTGCTCGTTTGTTTCCTGGCGATTCAGACCTGAATAATCACACAGAAATTATATAAATTACAGCACTGTTCAGCCAATGGCTTAGGCATATTTCTGCCTCACTCTTACATCTTAAATTAGCCCATTTCTATTAATTTATGTATCACCATGAGTCCATGCTCTGCCCATAAGGTTCCAAAGTCTGTCTCCTTCAGCAGCTACATGGCATCTCTCTGACTCTGCCTCCTCTCTCTCTCTCTCTCTCTCTCTCTCTCTCTCTCTCTCTCTCTGAATTTCAAGTCTGGATGTCCTCTGCTAAGCCACTTGCCCAAACAGCTTTATTCATCATCCAATAAAAGCAATGGATACAGAATCAATCCCTTCTCCCATAATGTTTCCTAAGCCTTCCAAGCTGGAGTTGTTTTATAGATGTATTCATTGGGACTGAGCTCTTCATCTTGACATTTTGATTGGTTGTGGTTTTCTATAATGGTCTCTGTTGCAAAGAGAAGTTTCCTTCATACTATTCTTATCTGTGGACATAGGATATTTAGAATGTAGTTAGGGCTACGTAGATTTAATAAGGTGGTGGTTTCATGTTCTCCAAGATCCATGACTTCATTAGTTCTGGATTGTTGGCTAGGTTTCTCGTAACAGCATGGTTTCCTTCAGACTGAGTAGATCTTAAATCCAGAGATTTCAGTTTTTGGTTTAAGATTTAAGATTTGGTTAGTGCCAAAGTATGTGGGCTACTACTGCACCCATACAGTTACTATGCCATGCTGGTGGTGGTCTCTGCAACATTTTCTGTTCTATATTGTAATTTTGAGACAGGTTCTCTCTGTATTCCTGGCTATCCTGGAACTTACCATATAGACCAGGTTGGCCTTGAACTCATAGAGATCTGTGTTTGGGGCTGGAGAGATGGCTCAGCGGTTAAGAGCACTGACTGCTCTTCCAGAGGTCCTGAGTTCAATTCCCAGCAACCACATGGTGGCTCAGATATCTGTGTTTGGATTAAAAGTTTGTGCCATTACACCTGCCTGCTGCAACATTTGAAAGCTTCCTTTGTGTTCTTTTTAATCAGATAGTGAAACCCAGCTCCGGAGAGACATGGTTTTCTGCCAAAGTCTTGTGGCCACTGTGTGCGCCTTCTCTGAGCAGCTCTTGGCCGCCTTAAACCAGATGTTTGACAACAGCAAGGAAAATGAAATGGAGACTTGGGAATCCAGCAGAAGGTGGCTGGACCAGATTGCGAATGCAGGTGTCCTTTTCCACTTCCAGTCACTTCTGTCACCAAATTTGGTAAGGAATCTTATGACTCCTATAGTCTGCGTCAGCTGTAGCCTCCATGGTCACATGACCAATATGAAGCAGTTGCCATTTCTCCCTCACTGTTTCCTTCATAGTCATCCAGCTATTTTAAAGGGAAGTCTTTCCCTGTGGTCATTCAGCTTTTACTAAGAATGTGGAATGTATTCTGTCTTTTCTGATTTTATCTCTTTTCTCTGGCTGCTATAAGTCGGGAGGGACTCTGATATTAGTCATTCTTAGATCCTTAAGCACTGACTGGAAAAAGTCCTGGAAGGAAGGTAGGATGTTATAAATCCAGAAATAACTGCTTCCCTGATAATTGTTCTCCGACTGTTGCTAATAATATGGGGCAAGCTTCACAGGCACAAATGCCTGCTTTTATGTCCATAAACATTTTGAGGCTCATTGAATGGAATCCTGACTTTGAACATGAGAGTCTGTTTCATCTGCTAAAGTACAGATGGATAATGTGGAGTTACCAAGTAGCAGTTTTAAAACAAATGTAGAGGCTTTAATATATTGAAATAGCATTTTTCATACTGTTGTCTATGGAGGTGATTGTTGTACTGCACATTCATGGAAGATTCTGGAATTATAAATAATGGCATCCTTCCCAGGGTGGCTAAGAGATACAAAAGTAGATTGTTTTAAGAAGGGTCTGTGTACTCCATGTGGGCAGTAAATTACATATTTGGTTAATTTAAAGTAAGACACTAGGCAAAGTGTTTAAAAACAAAAACCATAGCATATTTCCAATGTACACTATGTGTGATAGTCAGGCTACTTCCTAACTTAGTAGCAGTGTTTTCTGATTGAGTGAACGAATGAATGCATGGGTGAGACTTCATTTCTAATCTATCCTCTTTATTCAAAGTTTCTGATATCGAATCAATTGCTGCTGTTTGGACTTTAAGCTTTGAAGTCTCCAGGATTAGGAGAAAATATTCACAAATCATAGAGGCAATAAATTGCATAGATTTGAATGTATAAAGAATCCTCAAAACTCAATAGTAATTTTTAAAAAGACCTACTTTAAAAGTGGCAAAGGATTTGAGTAGATACTTCCCTAGAAGATGTAAAAGTCGCCACTAAGCACATGGCAGATAACCAAAGCCAGCTGCCACTAGAGAAATGGAACCCAAAGCACAAAAATGAGCCCTCTACTATAACAATTGCTGGCGGGGATCTGTACAAGTTCTACTCCTCAGAAACGAGTCATAGGAACGTAAAGTAATACAACGTGTTTGGAAACCAGCTTACGAGTTCTTCCAGACATTAGACATCATTTCTGTCTTCCTGAAATCCTAGTCCGTCCTTAGGTTACTACCCAGTAGAAACCTCAGCTTCCATTCACTTAAGAACTGTGACAAATACTCCTATCAGTGTTATTCAAAATTCCTGAAGACTGTCAGCAGCTCTGGTGTTTGTCAGTGGGTGACTGGATAAGTTAAGTGCTGTCTCATACAGTAAAATCTGACTCAGGCATAGACAGTTTGTACTACTGATGAGTGCTAGATTGTACAGAAATCCTGGAAACACAGTCTTCCAGGAAGGAAACTCGCCTGGCAACCAAGAATGGGGTTCATTTCTACTGTGATAAAACATACTGAATGGATATATTCCAGTTATCACAGTAGACATCCGATTGCCTGGAGCTAAGCGTTCAGGTAGATGCCCCGGGGAGAATGCCTAATGATGCTGGGTTTCCTTCCGATGTGATGAGAATGCTCCACAATTAGATGGCAACAGAAGCAGCTCAGTGCCACAGATGTTAGGGATGCTCAGCTGTGTATTTTGCCTGAGTGAATTTCATAGTCTGTGAGTTATATATCTCAACGAAATTGTGCTCTTCTTAAAAACCTGCCTTGTGAAACCTTTAAATTTATTTTAGTAATTGGTTTTTAATCAGAGTTTACTAGAAAAAAAATCAAAGAAACCTCTGTAATGAGAGCACAAAGTCCTGAAAACATACATACAAATAATATCAAATGGACCAAGCAGTTTATAGTTAGTATATATGTATGTACATATGCACGCACGCGATAATAATTACTGACTAAGGATGCCATGAATTTGAAGGAGAGTGTGAAGGGAAGGGGTACATGAGAGGGTTGAGAGCAAGGAAAGGAAGAGAGAAATGTTGTAATTAAATTATAACCAATAAATAAATAATGAAACAAAGCACAGGCTCACCTGTAACCGTGGCTCTCTGAAAGTCGCTGCCACCCGGGACTGTGCTTCTTGGAGCTCTAGGCCCAGGCAGTTGTTAGCTGGTTTTGTCACTGTCCCGGAAACAGTGTGGCTCACACTGCAGTGCTCTGAGACTGAGATGCTTGCAGCGTTTCTCCCAACTCTACTTGACATCAGAAAAATGGTGATGCTTTTCAGTCCTGCTGCAAACATCTGGGCAGTAGGTACTTTTTCTACTACTTCCACGGGAGTTTAGGGCTTTGGGAGATGGTTCAGTGGGTGAGAGCTCCTGCTGTGTGGACCTGAGGACCTGAGTTGGAATTCTCAGCACCCACATTTCACATAAAAGCTGAAACCAAAACCAACCAACCAACAACAAAACTATTGGTGCCCCCTTGCATGCCTGTAACTCTGATTCTGTAGTGGGGGAGAGAGAGGAAGGGAGGTCTCTAGAACTTGTTAGTTGGGTAAGCTCCAGACTTGCTAGTTGGGTGAGCTCTAGACCTGCTAGTTGGGTGAGATCCAGATTTGCTAGTTGGGCATGCTCCAGGTTCAGTAAAGAGACATTGACTCAGCCTAGGCAGTTTGGATGCTCACCTTACTAGACCTGGATGGAGATGGGTGGTCCTTGGACTTCCCACAGGGCAGGGAACCCTGATTGCTCTTTGGGCTGACAAGGGAGGGGGACTTGATTGGAGGAAGGGGAGGGAAATGGGAGGCAGTGGCAGGGAAGAGACAGAAATCTTTAATAAATTAATTAATTAATTAATTAAAAAAAAGAGACCTTGACTCAAAGGTGAAAAGTGAGAGAGCTGAACATGTGACATCTGCCTCTGGCCTCCATGGGCTTATATGTACTTACACACTCGTGTGCATATCCCAGTGACATCATCTTCCTGGTGCTCACTTCTGGCCTTCTTATAGCAGTTAACAACATTCTCTACAGAGTACTTAGGCTTATAATGATGACACAATTAACTTTACACATCGAAGTTATCTCTTAATATAGCACTTGTTTTCATTTTTTAAAAATGAATTAATTGTTTTTATTTTATGTGTTTGATGTTTTATCTGAATGTATGTCTGTATGAGGGTGTTGGATCCTCTGGAGCTAGAGCTACAGACAATAGTGAGCTGCCATGCGGGTGCAGGGAATTGAACCTGGGTCCTTTGGAAGAGCAGCCAGTGCTCTTCAGCACCGAGTCATCTCCACAGCACCAAGTTGTCTCTCCAGCCCCAGCACTTGTTTTCTTGATAACATGAATTACCCTTCCAAACAAGTTTAACATGCTTCATACAATTCAACAAGTTGCTCAGAGCTTACTGGAAGCTGAAGCAGGATGAGTGTAGAGTTTTTAAAACATTGTTAATTTATCCATGAGAAATCTCTTTATAGAGGTGAGACAAGTGGTTGAGATGAAATGGATTACTTATTCATATTCTAGGCTAAGGACCTCCCAAAGCTGTAAGGTGAGCATGGTATTTGTATATAATCTCTTTGGAAGACAAATGTATGTGTACATGGAAACTGCTGTTATCATGGTTTTAATAAGTAGTGATTGAACAATGAATAAATAATTATAAAACAGGATGATTGTGATTTAATTTGGTTTTAACTTGAAATTAATGGGGTTTTTTTTGCTTCCTATCTGTTACTTTGTGAGCTTTTAGAAGTAAAGGCCAAAAGCATATATTATTTGTGAATGAGATCATTAGGATTAGATTCTATCTATAAGCTAGATTGACTATTATGTATATAATCATTTATATATTGAGAAAATACAAAATCAGAAAATGATAAAACCATACAAGGAACATGTCACTATGTAGGCCTCCTTGATTTCATTTTGTACAGAGTTTTCAGGAATGTGTTGGCACCAATGTTTTCTGTGCAATAGAGCAGAAGGGAAGGGATTCTTGTTTGCATTTACACTGTGCCATGGGATCTGACAGTGCATCGTTCGGTCATCTGATAGACTCTTTCCCTTCATTGTAGAAAGATGAGCAAGCCATGCTAGAGGATACACTGGTAGCGCTATTTGATTTGGAAAAAGTTTCCTTTTTCTTCAAACCATCAGAAGAGGAGCCCCTGGTTGCAAGTGAGTAACGATGTGTCTACAGGATGTTTCTGGTGGCAGATGATGCCATCTTTTGATGTGCATAGAGTTACATGAGTTGAATGATTGAAAAGGGTTTCTTTGCCTTCAACATTTTCCAACATTAGTGCTGACAGGCTGTATTTTAGAAGTCATACTTAAGAAACAGTACTTGTTATGTAGTGAACCCATGGATTAATGTTCATGTCTTTAAATTTTGCAAATTACCATTATTTTTCTTTGATTTCAAATTTGTATAAATGTTTAACAATAAGATGCCTACCAGTCCAAAAAAATCTACAATTTATCTTTAAAAACAGTTTTGTGTGCTTCTTGTTTTTCACAAGTGTTTGGATCCTGTGTATTTTAATAGAAGCTATAAGTGTCTTCAGAGATGGGAGGTGTTCTTATGGCCCTTCCCAGAGGCTAGTATAATAGATAGAGGCTCAAGAAGTGCACACTTCAAATCTGTAGCTTGATGAAATGATAATCATTCTTTTAGTTGTCTCATCAAAAACTTCCTTTGAATGCTTACTTTTTGCCAGAATTACTCTGGGTATGAGGTTCAAAAGAGTTCTGAGCAGATGGTGTCTTCTGTGGGTTAGAAATTGAGGTGAGGAAAGAAAATGACAGGTTAGAAAAACAGATTAATTTGTTAAGTTAAAAGTAACAATAAAGTAGATCAGAATATAAAGATGAAGGAGCAGAGGAAAGATGCTATTAGCAGGGTGGGGAGGGCCTCTGGTCTAGGAGAGCAGACCTCTGTAGGGGCTGAGAGAGTCACACAGATAGTGGAAGATAGTTTGTCAGGCTTCATCAACTCTCAGGCAGGAGGTTGTGAGACATGTTCTCAGAGCAACAAGCCAGCCTTTCTTGGCCATGGTAGAGCAAGCAAAGAGAACAGAGTATGACATCAAATAGGAAATAGGACCTTGTAGGGATTCCTGCTACTGAGATATCTCCATGTTCCTGGTTTCAAGTGAACAGCAAGACCTGATTTACATAGCCAAAGTGATGCCTCTGTCTGCTGTGGTACATATACCATTCTGAGGATGGGCAGAATCTCATACACCACTTAAGAAGCTCTGGAGTGACCTAAGAGAGAAATCACAGTGATTTGGATGTGAGGGAATCTGTGGGGATAGTAAAATTAAAAATATCAATACTATTTTATAATTAACTATAGTATATAGTTAATTATAGAATTGCCACTAATGTTCATTTCCACTTATAAACAAAAAGACCAAGAATATGAAAGTGTAAGTTACTGATACCCAAGAGACAATTGTTATCTGGCAAAATGTGTGGTAAATTTTGATTAAAAACAAAATTTTAGATAAATTGTAAGGTTTCACCTTGCATGTATGAAATAGAAGGACATTTAGTTTTACTTGAAGACTGAGCATAGTTTTGCTGAAGGCTGAGAAAACAATTCTGTGATGTTACCTAATGCTGTTAATTCTTTAAAAATGCTGCTTGAGAAGCTATAAGCTCTCAGGGGCATTCATTGTCCTCTGTGCTTTCAAAGTGACATTTTTGACAACCGAGGAAGCAGGGGAACCACAATGATGAGCTCTGTGAGTGATTTTTTTTTTAATCCACAGTAAGAGACATTGGACACATTCCAAACATTAAAGGTAATTGTGATCCCCTAAGAAAAAGTTAGAGTTTAAATATGGCTGTGCTCATGACAAAGCACTCATGATGGTGGTGTTTAGCAATGTGCTTTATGCGTCTCTTTGGGGCATAGCCTGGACTCCTGAAGGTAGTTCCCTAGTAAAACACCAATTTCAATGCCATATGACTTTACCATTAAACATAAAAATGAAGAGCAGTCATTGTGGGTTTGGGAAAGGAACTGACACATAACCATTCAGAAATAAAGTGTATGAGGAGAAGAAGCCTGGAAACCACGATTGAACCTTGAGGGAGAGCATTGATTAGAAGGGTAGAATAGCATTAAAACAACATAACCTTGACCTTAAAGGAAGGAGAAACTTCCTCATAAAATTGACCAGAGCTTCATTTAGAGATTGTTTAGTCAGGTACACACTTTGACCCACGTGCTATAAAGGAAGAACTCTAGAGAGGGAGGTGCATTTCTGTGAGTTCTTCCAAGCCTCATTTACATAGTAAGTGTGAAACTAGCCAGTCACAGTGGGAAGAAAGATAAAGCCACCATAAGAGATGGTTTAGCGAGAACAGAGGGGCTTTCAGAGTAACCAGTACAAAAATTACCCAGAACAAAGGGTAGTAGCTGGCTTTTATAAGTTGCAGGGGCTAATGGAAAGTTTTATACCATGCAGTTTAGTCTCTGATAGCATACTTGACGAAGAGTATGGAGGAACCAGATACTAGTTAGAACCATAAATCAGAATCAATAAATTCATAAACAGAAGCACTTCTTAGCTATGTCCCAGGGAGTGCTGCAGTGTGCATCCATTCTGTTTTCCAGACTGTGGGATCGGGAAATGATGACAGGAGAGAGTTCTCATTGTGAAACCTGACACCTGAGGTCCATCAAGTCTTACTTCAGTGGTAGAAGAAGGTTAGAGCTTGTTCAGATTTATGGCATGTAGTTTCATCTCTCCACCTGTGTAGGAGCAGACGTGTCAGGATGGCTAATAAAGGCTGTATGGCTGGTATAGAGACAGGTTGGCTGCACGCCTCTGGAGAGAGGACAGGGTGCAGAGAGAAGGAAGGTAGAAGAAACCATTCACTTTTATCTAGACCCTGAATTCAAATTCTGGATCCATTCTCATCAATCAGTGTTCCAACGAAGACATTAGGTTTTTCCAAGCTCAGAGCTGGGTGGTTTTTTTTTATTTATTATTTTTTAAATTTTTTTATTAATTTATTAAAGAATTTCTGCCTCCTCCCTGCCACCGCCTCCCATTTCCCTCCCCCTCCCCCAATCAAGTTCCCCTCCCTCGTCAGCCCGAAGAGCAATCAGGGTTCCCTGCCCTGTGGGAAGTCCAAGGACCACCCATCTCCATCCAGGTCTAGTAAGGTGAGCATCCAAACTGCCTAGGCTCCCACAAAGCCAGTACGTGCAGTAGGATCAAAAACCCACTGCCATTGTTCTTAAGTTCTCAGTCGTCCTCATTGTCCGCTATGTTCAGTGAGTCCGGTTTTATCCCATGCTTTTTCAGACCCAGGCCAGCTGGCCTTGGTCAGTTCCCAATAGAACACCCCCATTGTCTCAGTGTGTGGGTGCACCCTTCCCAGTCCTGAGTTTTTTGCTTGTGTTCTCTCTCCTTCTGCTCCTGATTTGGACCTTGCGATTTCTGTCTGGTGCTCCAATGTGGGTCTCTGTCTCTGTCTCCTTTCATCGCCTGATGAAGGTTAATATTCAGGAGGATGCCTCTAAGTTTTTCTTTGGGTTCACCTTCTTATTTAGCTTCTCTAGGATCACGAATTATAGGCTCAATGTCCTTTATTTATGGCTAGAAACCAAATATGAGTGAGTACATCCCATGTTCCTCTTTTTATGTCTGGCTTACCTCACTCAGGATAGTGTTTTCTATTTCCATCCATTTGTATGCAAAATTCAAGAAGTCATTGTTTTTTTTTTTAATTTATTTATTTATTAAGGATTTCTGCCTCGTCCCCACAACCGCTTCCCATTTCCCTCCCCCTCCCCCGATCAAGTCCCCCTCCCTCATCTGCTTGAAGAGCAATCAGGGTTCCCTGACCTGTGGGAAGCCCAAGGACTGCCCACCTCTATCCAGGTCTCGTAAGGTGAGCATTCAAACTGCCTAGGCTCCCACAAAGCCAGTACGTGCAGTAGGATCAAAAACCCACTGCAATTGTTCTTGAATTCTCAGTATTCCTCATTGTCCGCTATGTTCAGCTAGTCCGGAGACGGAGCACGAGCAAGGAACTCAGGACCACGAGGGGTGCACCCACACACTAAGACAATGGGGATGTTCTATTGGGATCTCACCAAGGCCAGCTGGCCTAGGTCTGAAAAAGCATGGGATAAATCCGGACTAGCTGAACATAGCGGACAATGAAGTCATTGTTTTTTACTGCTGAGTAGTACTCTAATATATTCCAATCAACCTACCCCTGGACCCAGCAATACCATTCTTGGGAATATATCCAAGAGAGGCCTTATCATATAACAAAAGTATATGCTCAACTATGTTCATAGCAGCATTGTTTGTAATAGCCAGAACCTGGAAACAACCTAGATGTCCTTCAATGGAAGAATGGATGAAGAAAGAGCTGGGTGTTTTAAATAAGACAATGTGTTGAAATCCTCAAGTGTTACATGGTTATAATCAATATTTGAAACCATTCTCTTACACTTAATTTTAGGCAAGTAAAGACAAAACATCTCCTTTATAATCATGATACTGTTAATCTTAAGGTGGTTATTAGACGAGTGAGTACTTGTAAACCCCCAGTGTCTTTATATGGGTCAACTCTTGTGTCTGGAGCTATGGGTCCCATAATGGATGAAATAGATAGGGGTCCATGATGTCGATGGCCAAGATGAGACATAATGATGAGATGACTACAGAGGTAGTAGATAGACCATACAACGAAATAAAGATGCATAAACCAAGAGGGTAATGTGGCCTTTTCAGGACTGACTACAGAAAACATCCCATAATGGCAGTTTTAAATAGATCTGAAGGAAGACAAAGACTTGGAAAGTCTTAGAGAGAGACAATCTAAGCAGGCTAAAGTATCAATTTTTAAATCAAAACTTACTTATAAATTCACATATCCCATTCACTGATCTGATGTCGTATCTTCAGGGATGAAGCCATTGTGGCTCTTTCCTAGGGTGAGTTGCCATAGGAAGTTCCCTCACTCAGCTTGCATTGGTTCCAAGCTGTTGATCATTTACATTCCTCTGAAAATAAATTGGTTTTCCATAGAAGATGGCCTTCTGCAAGAAAAACAGTGGTGGATGTCAGTTCCATGTTATTGTGCGTGTTTAAAAACACTTTTATAGTTTCCTCGTTTTGTGTTTGCAGAGTTCCTCGTATATTCTGAGAGCTAGTCCTTTCTTTATTCATTGTGTCCTTCACAGATTCTTTCTCCTAGCTGTATGCTCATCGTCACATTGTGCTAGCCTCATCTTCAATAGAGCTCAGATTTAGTGTTGCTACAATCTAGATGACAGGATTTCTTTCATTGGCTGTGCCTTTAGTGTTATTTCTAAGATGGCATCCTCCATGATCATGGCTTTCTCCTGTGCTATCTTCTAGGAGTTACATAGTTTCATACTTTCTACTTTAGTTTTTTTTTTTTTTACCTACTTTGAATTAATCTTATGAGTGGATGAGCACTATGTCAAGATTCTTTTTATGTGTACATGCCCAATTGTTTCAAAACCAGGGGGAAGAAAAACCTATCATATTACCTTTGCTCCTTTGTCAGGATAAATCGGCGGCTCACATGGGACTAGCTCACACATTTCTAGACCGGAGTTCCATTCAGCTGCTGTCTGTTCTCTGTCCAGCTGCACATTGTCTTCATTTACAGGCACATTGTACCTGTGGAGTGAGACATGGAGTCGGACAGCCCCTACTTTTCTTCCTCTACTTTTCTTCCTCAGCTCTGTGTTAGTTGTTCTCAGTCTCTTTCCTCATTGTGTGAACTTTGGAGTCATTTTGTTGATATCCATGAATACCTTCAGATTTGAAGAATTTTCATGAAAACTGTCTATCAAATCAGGATTAAATAACATCTGGACAATAATGGCTCCAATTAATCATGAACATAGACTAGTTTCCCATTTATTTCTTAATTTTTTTGTTTTGTATTTGTCAGAAATTTCATTTTTCACATAAATATTATACATATTTTAGTATATTTATATGTATTTCATTTTAAAGAGGTGGCTAGTACAAATGGCAGTGTGCTTTTAACTTTGTGTTTTACTTGTTTATTGCTAATATATAGGGAAATAGTTGGATTTTGTATATCAACTTTGTCTCTTGCGTCTTTGATATATACATATATTATTCTCAGAGAATGTTGTTGATTTCAGATTTGTCTCCCATCTTTGAGCATCTTATCTATAAACAAAAGTTTGCTCCTCTCTTGATGAGTGTTTTCACGTCCTTTTCTTCTATAGTTGTCTTAGTGGGAACTGCTAGTGCAGCATTGAAAAGGAGCGGTGGTGAGAGAGGTCATCGTTCTTGTTCCTGATTTAATGGGCAATCGTAGTTTCTTACAATCAACTACGAAGTTAGCTATAGCTTTATATGTATTTTATCATATGGTGGAGGTCCATTTTCTTTAACCTATTAACTGAAAACATTTTTTCATGCGTTTATGTTACATTTTGTTAAATGTTTTCCCTGTATGCTGTCAGGATTAGGTAGGTGGGCTTTATTTTTATTATTTTGTCAATATATACAAGGGATTACATTAATTTATTTTGCGTACCTTGTGTAAATCCTACTTAATAGTGGTATATAGTTAGTTATATACAAGATTTGATTGGCGTATTCTTCGGTAATTCCTGTGTCCATGAGAATTGCGCACAGGAAAACTGTTTCCATACCTTCAAGTAGTCTTGAGTTTTTATTACTTCACTGTAAACAAGATGTTCCAATTCTTAAGAATTACTTCCTTAATTCCCTTTTACCTTTGCTTTATGTCAGTTTAAAATATAGCTGTCTATGACATCATTGTCATCCTTTCAGTAACATTATCCACTTGACATGACTTTACTACCTTGATGACAAAGACTAAATGCATACAGTTTAATAAACATGGACATATATGATAGTATATGAAGAAAGTAGAATATAAAAATATTTAGCAGGTATAAATTTATTTTCTTTCTTCTATCTCTGTCATCTGTCTTTCTGTCTATCTCTGTTTCTCTCTTTTTATCTCTATTTATCTTTATATCTACCTCTCTTCATCTTCCCTCTTCTCTTTCTCTGTAGCACAGGCTAGGCTGAAACTCCACAATCTTCCTCTGAATGTGTAAACCACCATCTTCTTAATGTTGTTTTGGCTTTAGTTTTTAATTTTAACAACCAAAAATAAAAAAAAAATTTCAATTATGAAAGGGCTTTCTTCTAAATCTTCAGTTTAGAAATTCATTTTTCTGGTTTCTAAATTAAACCATTAATGTCTCTCTATGAAAAGTTACAGAAATAAAATAAGCATTATGAGGCGGCATAAGCGAGGCTGGTGACCAGTGCTGCCATAGCTCCTTTTCCTAGATATACAATTCAGTAATAAAGAGGGAGGGTGTCATTCGTGTGGTAAATGCTTTTGAACTTGAACTCAATATCAGTTCCAGGAAGGCAGCTTGAAGTGCTAATGTTGAATCAGGAAGATGCATTATGTTGAATCAGGAAGACCTGCTATCTTGCTCTTAATTTTTAACTAGTTAGTAGCAGTGTTCTAATTTGAGTATTTTCAGAATGATTTTATATCCTTTTTAATGGGGTAGAAATATTGTGGATTCACATAGAAAGAAAATGACTTACAGTTGCACCATGAAATGTTCCCACAACATTTTAGCCAATCGCATTTGCTGATTTTTTTTTTATTAAAAAGCCTTTATTTTTAGAGTATTTAAAAGTAGCTCCAAGAATTTGGAAAGATAATTTCTAATGACCATAAGGCATCCTCAACAGAACATGGTTCGTTTTAATGTGATGGTCAGGGAGCAGAGCTTACAAAACCCATGCTCATTTTGCTAATGGTTGCTATGCAGGCCTTTTTCTCACACATACTTAAGGAGTGTGCTCCGTGGGCTCATTTTGACTACTTATGAATGAGGCAGCTGCCCTGAGAGATCTTCGTTTAGTTAAGTGAGACATCTGGTGTGTCAGAGTGTAACCAAGTTCCCCATTACAGAATCCGATACTCAGTTCAGTAATAAACTCGTGTCTTTAGCTAGTGGAACTCTGGTTCAGTTCTCTTTGACGGAACGGCGCTTTGTGTGCCACATAGGCCTAAAGTCCAGTGTAAGCATTCCAGCTCTGTGGAGAAAGGCTTCCCTAATGCAAGTGTTGGAGCTCTGAGGGAAAAGACATCCTGGCAGGCAGGAGTCAAGGAGTACCAAAAAGTCACAACACACAACAAACCTTATACGAGAGATTGATTGGGAAAGACACAAGACCACAAGATGGTGGTTGCCTCTGCTTAGGCAAGAAACAGCTAAGAACTGAGCAGGAGGCAGGAGGTCTAGGGTTTCTTGTGGAGCATAGCTTTCCATGACCTGGGTTGGTGGGGTTTTATGAACTGATCTTTGGGCAAACTCGGGGCTTTGTGGGATTTTGTGGCCTGGTCTTGGGCTTTTTTTTTTTTTTTTTTTTGGCTACCTGCATCTCCAGGGACTGTAAATGGACTTCATGGCCATTAAGAGTAGTCTGGCGGGGTTGGGGTGAGAGCCTGGCCATTCGCATGTCTTGAAAGGCTTACACTTTGGAACATTCTTACTGTATTACTTTGTGGTAAATTTCAGGAATTTTTTTTTGTGAAAGTTTAACATTTTACTGACATAATCCAAATGTACTGTCCAGCATATACTTAACTTCAGTAAGTAATATGGGATTTAATGTCACTTCAGACGTCCCTCTTACGTACCAAGTGGAAGGAAGCCGCCAGGCCCTGAAGGTTTACTTCTACATTGATAGCTACCATTTTGAGCAACTGCCTCAACGGTTGAAGAATGGAGGAGGATTTAAAATTCACCCTGTTCTCTTTTCACAAGGTGAGTGAGCTGTTTTCCTTTTCAGCTTTTGGGTATGTAAACCATTTTATCTTTATTAATATTTTAAGTACATTTAATGTTAGCAGTGAATTTTTCACTAATTTGAAAAAAATCTTTATAATTTTCAGGTAATATGATTGTTTCTGGGAGTGTTCATTAAGAGTGTTGGATTTAAATATATTCATTGAATAGAATTGGAGCATTTTATAAAATAGAGAAGCAAATTAAGTAATTCAAAGAGGTAGTGGTAAATTAAACTGATTGGACTGGTTAAATAAAGTATGGCAGAAAAATCAAATGGCTAGCCTACCATATGGCATAGAAAGTGTTAACCAGTGTATTTCTGCTGGGTGTGATGGTGCATGCTTATAGTCCCAGCATTCAGGAAACCAAGGCAGAAAGGATGCTAATTTGAGACCAGTTTGGGCTATGCAGTGAGACTTTGTTTGAAACAAATTAAACATACATAGTTTTCCTCCGGCTTCTGTTATGTATTCACAAATGTATATGCATACTAAACATTTTCTATGTCACTGGCTGAAAAAACGGATATCTTTTATTATTGCTTATGTCAGTTTTTTTTTGTGAGAAAATGTGTATTCTTGATCATTTTCTTTCTCCTATAAGTAAATCAGTGAATGACATCTGCAGTGGAAGAAATTAAGAAAAATATGAGAATGAAAGTTCTTGCTATGAATTTGCAGAGAAGCTTCTGGGTGTCCAGAAAAGACCAGACATTCACATTACTGTGTGGTCTCTCTTAGTTTAGGAGTAGCCCCTACCTCTTAAAATGAATGTGCTGGAGTATGTCAGTTTCTGAGTGGTGCCCTAGAGAATTCCAGTTTTCTCTCTTTGAGTTTTCAAGGCCTGCTTTATTTACTGTGCATTTTAATAATCTGATAAAAATGAGCAGGATAGACAAAGAATCAACCAGCATCACATATGACCAGACATATGAAAGCAAGATATGTAACAAGTGAAATTTTGCTTTATATAACATATGTACTAAAATGAAAGTCTGGTTTTTAAAATATAGGTTGTTTTCCTTCAGGTTTCCAAACTGATTCCCCTCAAAGGGACAATTCTGTGATTTTTTAATGAGCTTGTAGTCAGCATTTTAATTTTCCTTTGGAGGTATATGATAGGCAAGGTCAATGTTGTCAATAGTCTATAAGAAAGAAAATGAAAAAGGAAAGGAAACAATGACGAAAAGTAGATCTTTGGAAATATTTGAGATTCACCTAAATATGTCAGAAGTCCCTGTAGTAAGACTTACTTTGGGAATGCCAGCTCCCCAATAATAATACATAGACTTATTTTTAGTTATGAAAGCTTGGCCTATAGCTTAGGCTTGTTTCCAACTAGCTCTTGTAATTTAAATTAACCTGTTTCTATTAATCTTTGTTCTGCCATGTGGCTTTTTACTTCTTCCTTCTGTATGTCTGATTACAGTGTATCACTTCGGTCTCCCATGTGCCTAGATTCATCATCCCGAGTTCCTTTCTCTGCCTGGAAGTCCTGCCTAACCTCTACTGCCTAGCTATTGGCCATTCAGCTCTTTACTGAACCAATCAGAAGGCATCTTTCACATAGTGTGATCAAATATCCCACAAAAAGTCCCCATAGAGCTGGATAAGATGGAGAATGCTGGACCAGAGAGTTCATTTTTATAGTTTTAATTGAGTGTACAGCTCTTAAGGACTCTGTATCTTTCTTTGTTTTTCTTTTGCTATGAGAAAAAGAGAGTAGAGACACACAGAGAGGTAGAGACATGCATACACAGAGAAAGAGACAGAGAGACACACATACACACAGAGACAGAGACAGATCACACAAAAGATCAGGCTTGCACCATTGAGTCACAAGCATCTTTACCCAGAGAGCCATCTTGCCAGCTTTTTTCTGTCTTTTTAAAAATTTTGTCATTGAAACCATTACTGAGATGACAGATGGCACTAAATATTCCTTTTAAAAAACATTTCATTCGTGACACATCACCTCCAATAACTGAATAATCATAGTCCATTGGAAATGTGTGTAGGGAAAAGATTATTTTGTAAGTAACTTTTCTTTTTATAAATTTTGCAAAAGCAGATTGAAAAATAAATCAGTTGCTTTGAAAAGTAATTTAAGAAACCTTCAGTAAACATTTTGCTTTCGTAACTCCTAGAAGTAACATAAGAGAAGCAAACTTCGCTGGGTGGTGTTACTTGCCCCGCCAGCCTGTTCTACAGATGAGTTCCAGGGCAGCCCAAGCGACGTAGACCTACACAGCTGTCCCAGAAAACCAAAGGCGGCAGGGTCTAAGTTCAAAGCCACCCAAGGGAAGACTGGGAACAGCTGATTTCATTAAAAATCTGCCCGTGATAAAGTTGTTCCTTTAAAGAAGTAGCAAAATGCCTCTGTAGTCAAAGGCTCCCGTGTGCCTTCATTTTATCTCTCCGTGTTCTGACAGAAGCCTGGGAGGTCCAGACTCACTCTGAGCAGAGAATGACCCAGTTTTGTGATTGAAAGTGATGTTAAATGAAAGAAATGGTCTTTCCCTGGGATAAACATTATTTGAAGGGTTTATGGCTCTTCACTAGCTACTTAAAATATAGAAAAAAAAATCTGTGAATGTGAAAATTTCCTGGGGGTTCCTCAGTGTCAGCCCTTAGCATGGCCCAGGGTAGCAGAAGCAAGGATATTGCTCTCTTCCTCCTAAGGGCGGGAAGTGAGCAAGGTCAGATGTAAGGGTGTCTTTCAGGAAGCCACAGCTTCGGAACAGTAACTAGGCAAACCTAAGTGGAACTGATTTCCAAAACAAGGCACAGGGCCTGGCCAGAAAGTTGGCACAAAAAACATTCACAGTGCTTGGAGGCAAAGATCACTTTTAGATAATCTACCTTCTACAATGCATGCTTCCTTATAGGCTACGCAGATTAGTGTGGATGAGTTCGTGGACCAGACCCATAGGGAGAGGGAAGTTGGATAGCTCCTGGTTGAGTAGCACTCAGAGAATCAATACTCTGGTCCTCCTTCGGCCGACTTGTTTTCATGGCTCTGGCGGCAGTAGTCAATGCGGGCTGCACAGGGTCAACCTGGAAAGATTTTAGAAAGTGCCCACGCCCAGCCCCACACCACAGCCATCAATACGGAATCACTGGGAGGTGGAGCACAAATGCCAAGGTATTTTTGTGGTTTTCTGCATGTTCCCAAGCACACTGGCTTAAGAAATCACTGCTCTTCCTCGGCTGTGCAGCACTGCAGTTAATGTCCAGTTATTGCACGCATGTTCAGATGTCTAGAGCCTGTGCAGCTGGAACAAAGCAGGTGAGGGGCAGTGTAAGAAGATCTACATGCTAACGATGCATTGAAATGCCGGCTGCTCTTTCAAGGAGGCATTGCTTTGGCTGAGGGTTTTTTTTTTTGTTGTTTTTTTTTTTTTTTTTTTCACCAAAAGATGGTGGTGTTCCAAAGAGTGAAGGATTCAGGGATCTCTTCTTCAGGACTCTGCAGCTAGAACATGAAGTGCCTATTTCTTACAGGCATTTGTGTGGCAGCTCCTAAAGCATCTTTTGTAGCCTGTGCTTTTGTGTCCCTCACTTCTTCTCTTTTATAAGAACTGCAAGAGGCTCCTCAGGGACTCTGGGCAGCTTCCCTTCCTTCAAGGAGACAGCATTTGGAAGAACCTGGTTATTGGGACAAGCTGCAACCCTATCTCCTGTAGCTCGTTTTAAACCTTCGACAGATTCTTCTTTCTCATTGTGTGGACTCCAGTCAGCAGTCTGGGGCCTCCTCTGAGACTAGTTTATTTTGCAACTTGCCCCTCTGCTGGTTTCTATCAATGATCAGTATCACAACCAGACTTTCTCGTCCCTTGGGGACTTGGACTCCTAACCTCCGCTCCTTTTAGAGTAGGACTGCTGGCCTCATCTGTTTACCATAACTTTCAGGCAAGGAAGCCCCAAGGGGACCTCAGCACTTCACCTGGCTTCCTCTTCCCATAAGGTCACAATAGCTTCATGGACAGGCAGATGCCAGGAACTATAGCTTACATTTCAATGGGACCTCTGATTTGTCTCCAAGGGAAATCATTTCCTCTGGGGATCTTTAAAGCAACAGGAACAGAGATAAGAAGCAGAAGGGAGTCCCACGTGGAGTCAGTGCAGCAGATGGACCAGGTTCCTGAGGCTGCCACAGCAAACGGCACCATCTGAGATGGAGTCTATCAGCGTTCCACAAGTCTGAAATTAAGATGTCCACAGGACATGCTTCCGCTGAAGGTTGTAGGGAGTGATTTTTTCCCACTTTTTCATCAGTTCAGATCATGGCTACCAGCTGTCCTCAGTGTCCCTTGTTTCTTTGGAGGCTCTGCCTCTCTTTGATAACCCCTTCGTTTCCTTGACCGTCTACGTTTGTGTCTTTGTATACAGTTTTTCTACTGTGAAAAGGATGCAAGTCACTGGGTTTGGGCCTCCTCTAATCCAGTATGACTCTCTTATTTTAATGATGAGATTGGTAATGTTTCATAGCAAAGTTACATTGTCATTTTGTGGGCACTACAGGTTAGGACTTTGTCCTGTCTTTTGAAAGTTACAATTCAACTTTCAGCGGATGGTATGAGCTATCCTTTTGGCTGCCCTTCCTCGAGCTGACTTGCATCATCTAAGCCCTGTGGCATCCCTTCCTGGAAGGCATTGCTGAGCATCCCTTTGCTGGTCTTTGGATGCTGGTCATATTTAAGTAGAAGCACTTAGTGCTGATCTTTTCCTAATAGTTCTCTTGTGAGTTTCAACTGCTTGTCTTCTAGAGGGAGTGGGCTCCACAAAAGCTGCCCCCCCCCACCTTAACTTTGAAATGTCTTTAAAAACTGCCTTCCTGTCTCCATGGAAGAGGTTAATTTGCCTGGACTCCTGAGTGCTGTTTCCTTTTTTTTAAAGGAGAAATTTGCAGCAAACATTGACAGTTTCTGTACTTCCGTTTCAGTCTTTCCTCTCAAACTTTTCTTAAAGTGTCAT